TTTAGTTTGGGTTTTTACTATGTGTACATAATGAAAATCAATGCCCACGGGCAGGGCCAATTTTGACACCAGGGGAAAAAATTTGAACAACTTTGGTAGAGGACCTATAGATGATATTATATAGCAAACATCAAAACTCTATGCCTTGTACCTTCAGACAAAAAGATTTTTTATTTTTTTTTACTATATGTACATAATGAAGATCAATGACCCCCAGGGCGGAGCCAATATTGACCCCAGGGCTATAATTTGAACAATCTTGATAGAGGTTCATTTCGCAAAATATCTAACCTATAGCCTTTGTCAATTCAGAGAAGAAGATTTTTCAAGATTTTACTTTATAAGATGGATTTCGTAAGCATGCAGGTATTATAAGGAAAACTATCGCCTCTTGGGCAGGGCAATTTTAACACTAGGGGCATAATTAAAACAACTTTAGTAGAGGACCCTAAATGAGATTATATACCAAATATCAAAGCTCTAAGCCCTGTACCTTCAGACAAGGAAATTTTTTTTATTTTTTTACTATATGTACATAGTGAAAATCAATGACCCCCTGGGGTGGGGCCAATTTTGACCCCAGGGCTATAATTTGTACAATCTTGCTAGAGGTTCACTACACAATGTTTCATGCAAAATATCTAACCTCTAGCCTTTGTCAATTTAGAGAAGATGATTTTTTACGTTTTTACTATATACATATAAGGAAAACCTGACCCCCGGGCGGGGCTAATTTTGACACAAGAGGCAAAATTTGAACAACTTTGGTAGAGTACCTATAGATGATATCATATAACAAATATTAAAGCTCTAAGCCTTGTACCTTCAGACAAAAAGATTATTTGATTTTTTACTATATGTACATATTGAAAATCAATGACCCCGGGGCGGGGCCAATTTTGACCCAAGGGCTCTAATTTGAACAATCTTGGTAGAGGTTCACGACACAATGTTTCATACAAAATATCTAACCTCTAGCATTTGTCATTTGCTAGAAGAAATTTGAACAACTTTGTTAGAGTACCTATAGATAATAACACATACCAAATATCAAGCCTCTAAGCCTTGCACCTTCGGACAAGAAGGTATTTTAAGTTTTTACTATATGTACAAATAGTGAAAATCAATGACCCCCCGGGGCGGGCCAATTTTGACCCCATGGCTATAATTTGAACAATCTTGGTAGAGATCTACCAGACAATGCCTTATGCAAAATATCTAAGCTCTAGGCCTTTTGGGTCTTTACAAGAAGATTTTTAAAATTCATTCTTATAATTCCTTTTGGTTGCGATAGGCAACCAGATTTCTGCATGGAATGAAATTCTTTGAACAACTTTGGAAGCCCTTTACCAAAGGATCAATCATGCCAAGATTGGTTAAAATTGGACTACCGGTTTTTCACAAGAAGATTTTTTAAGTTCACCATATAATATCAAGAACACACAAACATACATACAAACAGACACACACACAGGCTAATCGCTATATGCCACCGCATCGCAGATGCTGCGGTGACATAAAAAGTGGTGACAGTTTATGAAAAGTCAATAATTTGACTTTTACAGCCAAGGTCTCTCAAGTTCAAGGTCAAATCTGAATTATTAAACATGTCTGTCATAAGAGTGGTGAGTAAATAAATAACAAGAAATGTAGAACGACACATATGCCACCCTTTCTGGCCCTTGACTCACATTATTGGTAATTTTGTTATAGAAACTTGCCATAAATGGGTACATGGAAGTGTTCAATTATGGAAACAAGAGCTGTAACCCAAGTGACGAATGCCCCCGAAAAGGTTTCGTAAGCATGCAGGTTTTATGAAAAAAAAGAATGAAAGTTACTAATTGCTGAATATTGTTCTTTGTATTATTGTACATGTAATCTCTAATTATGGTAGCGTGAACTTTCAAAATATAAGTGTGACCTTGACCTTTGAAGAAGGGACCTGGTTCCTAGACGGGACAGAATGTGGTAACGAGAAAGACATTTGTGCCAAGTAATTTCAAAATCCCTCAAAGCATGACAAAGTAACAGTCTGGACATGAATGTGTATCTTCAAAGTCTTCTCAAAGATTGAGAACATTCTATAAGTGTGACCTTGACCTTGAAGGTAGGGACATGGGTCTTAGTCGCGACATGTCATCTTAATGTGATAGACATTTATGCCTAGTTATTTTAAAATCCTTCGATGCATGACGAAGTTACAGTCCGGACACAAAATTAATGTGTGTACCTATAAACTCTAATTGTGAAAAAGTGAACTTCAAAATGGTTCTGTGACCTTGACCTATGAGGTAGGGACTTGATTATTAGAAGTGACACACCGTCTTGATGTGGTAGACATTAATGCCAAGTTTTCCTAAAATCCTTCCATGCATGACAAAATAACAATCCGGACACAAATGTGTGTACCTATAAATACTTATTGTGATAAAGTGAAACTTCAAAATGTTAGTGTGACCTTGACCTTTGTGGAAGGGACATGATTTTTGGATGCGACACATTGTCTTGATGTGGAAGACATTTATGCCAAGTTTTTTTAAAATCCTTCCATGCATGACAAAATAACAATCCGGACACAAATGTGTGTACCTTTAAATACTTTTGTGATAAAGTGAAACTTCAAAATGTTAGTGTGACCTTAACCTTTGTGGTAGGGACGAGATTATTAGATGCGACACATTGTCTTGATGTCCAAGTTAATCTAAAATCCTTCCATGCATGACAAAGTTACAAACCGGACATGATTGTATGTACATATTAATTCTAATTGTGATAATGTGAAACTTCAAATGTTAGTGTGACCTTTACCTTTGAGGTAAGGACGTAATTCTTGGACGCGACACATCGTCTTCATGCGGTAGACATATATGCCTAGTAATTTTAAAATCATATGATGTATAACAAAGTTACAGTCCGGACACAAATGTGTGTACCTATTTACTCTAATTGTGATAATGTGAAACTTCGAAATGATTGTGTGACCTTGACCTTTGAGGTAGGGATGTGATACTTGGACGCGACACATTGTCTTGATTTGGTAGACATTTGTGCCAAGTTATTTTAAGGTAGACCATGGGTAATGGGCACTACATGGAACTGTAAAATTGACAACATAGGACAGTTATACGTCTTCAACGTCACCTGTATGCAAAATTTAAATAAAATTTACTGTGTGGTTTAAGAGTTATGGATATATTTCTGAACTAAGACGTTGCCATTAGAAGGGCTTATTTTCAGAAATGATGAAACTTTAAATAATCTATAATATTATCATTATGAAAAATGTTTTTCTAATAGTTACTCATTGTTAAGGAACAAATAATAATATTCAGGTAACAAATTACACAAGCAAAATGTTTGTTTCTATAATATGTATAACAAGAGCTGTCGGTAGGACAGCAACGCTCGACTTTTCTTAGTGCTTGATAGTAAAAAAAACCTGATAATGTAAAATTTTCTAAGTAAAGAAAAGGGTAAATTTTTTCTTTAAATCCATATTACAGATATAGGCCTTGGAGAGACTCCTATTATGCTCTCAAAAATGAGTATAAAATTTCAACTTGCTTCAAAGCCGTATGTCAGTGGACTTTGAAAATATTTAAGGTATAACAAAAACTTTAACGTAAATTCTAAGTCGAAAAAGGGGCAAAATTCTGTCAAAATGCTTGATACAGTTACCTCCTCCTGTCTATAGGTTGGAGTCATGATGATAAATAAGTGTGTGAAAAGTTTCAAAGCCATATGTCAATGGACTTTGAAAATATTTGAGGTATTACAAAAACTTTAACCTAAATTCTAAGTCCAAAAAGGGGCAAAATTCTGTCAAAATGCTAAATACAGTTACCTCCTACTGTCTGCAGGTTGGGGTCATGATGGTGAACAAGTGTGCAAAGTTTCAAAGCCATATGTCAATGAACTTTGAAAATATTTGAGGTATTACAAAACTTTAACGTAAATTCTAAGTCGAAAAAGGGGCAAAATTCTGTCAAAATGCTTGATACAGTTACCTCCTCCTGTCTATAGGTTGGAGTCATGATGATGAATAAGTGTGAAAAGTTTCAAAGCCATATGTCAATGGACTTTGAAAATATTTGAGGTATTACAAAAACTTTAACGTAAATTCTAAGTCAAAAAAGGGGCATAATTCTGTCAAAATGCTTGATACAGTTACCTCCTCCTGTCTACAGGTTGGGGTCATGATGGTGAACAAGTGTGCAAAGTTTCAAAGCCATATGTCAATGAACTTTGAAAATATTTGAGGTATTACAAAAACTTTAACGAAAATTCTAAGTCGAAAAAGGGGCATAATTCTGTCAAAATGCTTGATACAGTTACCTCCTCCTGTCTACAGGTTGGGGTCATGATGGTGAACAAGTGTGCAAAGTTTCAAAGCCATATGTCAATGAACTTTGAAAATATTTGAGGTATTACAAAAACTTTAACGTAAATTCTAAGTCGAAAAAGGGGCATAATTCTGTCAAAATGCTTGATACAGTTACCTCCCCCTGTCTACAGGTAGGGGTCATGATGGTGAACAAGTGTGCAAAGTTTCAAAGCCATATGTCAATGGACTTTGAAAATATTTGAGGTATTACAAAAACTTAAACATAAGTGTTTACGCCAACGCGGACGCCAATGCCGACGCTCGTGTGACTACAATAGCTCTACTTATTCTTATCGAATAGTCGAGCTAAAAATGTTACCCTATCCCACCCACTTTAAATACTAATTTTACCATTTTCCTATATAAAATGCCTTATTCAAAATATCCCTTAAATTTACCATAATGAGAGGCTATTTTCAAAGTTTGCCTAAATTTTCTTAAAAGTATATTGGTTGATCATGCCAAATATAAAATACTTTAACCTAGTAGTTTTCATTTTATAAAACTTTGAAAATATTTGGTATCATTTTTGCTATTTTGGCATTATCTAGCAAATAAATACCTACAATAATTATATAATTTAAATCAAACCTATTTTGCTTCCATAAGGGATCAGAGAGATAAATAAATAATGTTAAAAAGAAAACAAGAGGGCCATGATGGCCCTGAGTCGCTCACCAAACACTGAATTTTACTATAAGAAAATTGACCTACATAGCAATAATTCAAGAAATATGGTTTTATATAAATGTATCGCGAAATAAATCTCCATATGGCTCCTATTTCCTCTTCAGTCAAATGAGTCCATTTTACTTCCATATTCAAACACCAAATTTTACATGTTTTTTTTATTAATTACTGTCAATGTTTCACACAAACAAGAAATCTTTTAACAATGTAATGTTTTTATCTATTTGTGATTATGAAGGCTGGACTATATCATTAACATTTCTTGTCTTTCTTTCTATTTTTTTAAGTACTGGTAAGGCAAGCCAATAATTTTCACAAACATTATTACAAGGTGATGTAACATCATCACTGTATTTTTCAAGGACTGAACCAACGTGCTTGAAGAAATCAGCCTTATAACCAATATCCATTATCTCCTCCGCAACTCCAATGCAGCAATATCTAAAGTTCAAAACTAACCACAGTGTAATAACTGTTTCAATCTTTTGATATCTATCTCCAATAAACAGATCAAAACGAGGGGTTTCAAAAAATATATCATTCTCTGAATCATACATACAAACAGCAACCTGTGACTTTGATATTATAATACTTGGAATAAGGAAATTTTCTAGTTCAGGATGATTTTTCTTTTGCAAGAAAGAGAACACTATTGCTTCAGTCCTAATTTGTTCTCTGCAGGCGACCATTAGAACACTTGTCTTCATCATTTGAATCTGTTTCTTCTGTATCCAATGCTGTCACAGCAACATCAGTCAGAATGTCAGCCTGTCCATGCCAGTAAGATGGGACACCTGTCAAAAGATAATTGTTTAATTAACAATGTCAGGATAGGCAGCAAACTTGCCATAATTGTCAAAAATCATCCATCAGACATTATGTATTTCTTCCAAATATTTGGTCACAAATACTTAGGTTTACTCTATAAGTCTTATGAATTATTTTTAGTGATCCCAAAACAAACCATTTGATAAGCATGTATATTTTATTAAATTGAGGTTATAATACCTCTTGTTTTGCCTTACTACACTTTTTGTGTTATAATGCCTATTTTTCCACCTAATGAAGCTTTTACTACAGGTAATAACAACTTTCGTTTTGTGTTATAAGGACTTTATTTGAGTTATTATGCCATTTGTTTCACGTTATAATGCATTTATTTGTGTTATTACTCCTTCTTTCCAATATTTCATTTTATTTAACTACTATATTAGGCTTTCGTTACAATCAGTGTAAAGCATAATGTAAAATTTGCTGTAAATAATTAACACATTAAAAATTCTTTCCAAGGACAGTTGATTTATTGCAAGATTTAACAGTCTAAGTTTTGTTTAATCTGTCAATGCTTTCCAGATTTTTTTTTAAAATTATAACATTACAAGTGTTCAGTTTATTGGCAGCAATACTCAGCAAAGGGAGATAATTGAAAGATATAAACCACAGTTATGGTTCTTTCTGGCATGTATCAGTATATACTAATATACATGTTCATGTATATTTTTTATTATCACAGTTAATTTTATGATTATTTGCAATACATCATGTCAATTTGTGTACAGTGAGGTTTTAACAATATAATTTACCACAAACAAAAAACTAAAAACAGCATTACCAAATGATGTGTCTCCGTAAGTTCCAGACAATTTCTCCCCACAGCCATAGGGACAAACTATATATCTGCTTTTCCCACTGCATTTGCTGTCAAGTAAGTAACTAGAACTAACAGTAAGTTTTGAAAGTAAATGGTGGGTGAGTGCCTTTTCTGTTGAGCCTGAAAGAGCAATAAGGAAACAATTGTATTCACAAATGTATAAATATCATGATCACATATTTGGCATACCATTAGGAGAGCAATTTCATAAAGCTGCTATTTCTAAGTACCTTTCTTAGAAGAAAACATTGTATGATACTAAAGTTACTAGTTGAAAATTGAACCTCTTTTAAAATTAATTTAAACAAAATTAAAGGGTGTTATGATTAAATTGTGTGAAGCCATGTCACTGCTTAATGTCACTGCTTAATTTTGGTTGATTCCTGATAATCATGAATGAAAAAAAATAATCTTGAAGCAAAAACACATCTGAAATAGTAAGCTTGAAAAACAGTGAAAATTTGAGTACTTTTGTATATGCCAATATAGGCTTACTTGTTTATTAAGGTATCAATTTCATGGTGTGATTTTTTTTCATTACAGTACAACCCTGCATAGCAGCACTCTTTGGGAGAAAAGATTTTGGTTGTTGCAGAGAGGGATTGTACTAGAAATATCTAATTAATTAATAATACTTGTTGTTGCTGCTCTGAAGAGGATGTATATCATTTTATGACAGCATACATATTTCTATGAAGAAATTTCCGCATGTAATAATCAAACTTTAACCAGGCTCATCGATCATTTAAGCTTTGGGGCTACAATTTGTAAACAAATGAATAACACAAATTTCGTGGACTTGAAAGGTTCCAGATAAGCATCAAAACACATCACATTGCATCTTTTGATCTAAAGGAACATAAAAAAGAGTCAGTGGGAACAAGTCCCAAGACCACTTAAGCAAATCAGCCTACGTTGTACTTGCACAGAAGCTCATTATAATTAAATATGAGTATTTTAAGTGAAAATACCCAAATATAATCTCATTTGAAACAGCAATTTGTATTTCTTTATATGTCAGAAAGATGCCATGAAGACATATATGCTCTTACCTTTGTCTGACAAAAGTTTCAGTAACTTTGCCAAAGTCAGTCTAGCACCTTTCCTTTGAGGGATGCATTCTGGAGATCTTATGAAGGCCTCCAGCAAATCAAATCCATATTGAAAAATACCACTTAAATGAAAGTCTTTGGGTACTGAGAAAGATTCACATCTGGTACAAGGTTGACAAAGCTCTTTGCAATCACAAGTTGCTTTGGAAAAAGTATAGAACTAAGAGCATCACAATATTTTATTTTCATGACTCCTACCCCATAACTAGAGTGTCTGTTGTAGATTGACTCCAATGCTTATTCTAGACTTTGCAACTTATCATTGTGAAAAGACAAAAAAAAGTTCATGGTCTTCATCTGTCTTTTCGAAATGTTCAAACTTGACAAAACATCTGAAGAGACCACTACCAGAGTAGACGACAAGACACCAGAAATAAAGCGGAATGATATATACATTTAGTCTGTAAAGGGGAAATGAAGTTTCCCATACATCACGATGAACATTTGATTAAATTCGTGTTAACTATAATAAATTATGTTACATGTATTTATGTCTTTGATGTAATCTGGAGCTTCTTTTTTGTTAAAAGAGAAATAAACTACTTCACATGATTTATTTGCAAATCACTGAAAGGGTTACGCCGCTTAAAACTTTAACTATCTGTTGTATCATAGTTTGGGGACCTTTCTGTTGAAAATGTGACAGAGTTAAATCGTATATGCACAGTGCGTTAACTGGAGTGCAGGTATTAGTTACCCGCACTCCAGAGCATGCCCATAGATTGGTTCATCCGGGGTTTACATATTGTGACGATAGAGAGAGGGAAAGCGATGGCAATATCATATTCAGATGCTCGTTCATTGGTTATTGTTTTGTGGGGTTTCATATTGTGGTATCAGGGAACGTGTTTTTATGTTTGACTATGATACAAAAGAGAAAGAACATCAAAACACTCGGCAATCTGATTTATACTCGGGGACAACGCACCCTCGTACAAATCAAAAAGCCTCGTGCTTCGATGCTCTTTCTATTACTTCGTGAGAAATCTAAAAATCTTGCTGGAAGTTGTACACACAGATTTTGTTTGAAGAAATTTCGAAACAAGGTTACTTGGCATAGTCTAGAATGATTGTTTCACTTTTCATCGCTACAACATTATTAGATACGATAATATATCGTTTATTCCCTGAAATTCTGTTTATTTGTTAGACATGTATCAGACGGCACCAATGCTCTACTTACATGAAAATAGTACGTAAATGCTAATCGTGCATTAAATTGTTTTAAGAAATACTATAACACGTGCTAAATCTTTTTTTTCACTTGGAAGACAAATGCCTTAAGAATAAACTTGAAAAATAAAATAAAAATGTAACAGCATTTCTTCACGTTGAAAATTAAAGATCTATAATTCAGTGTTAACATTTGAAGGAAATTATTCATGGGGGGGGGGGTATAATGTCATTATTTATTGCATTATCTGTAAAAAAGCTGATTTGCTTTAAAACTTTAAAAAGCCATACTAGTGGTATTGTTTGTAGTTTGTTTGCTTTGATGTTTACGTTATAAAGATTATAAATTATATAGATTGTTTAGTTCTTATTGACACATTTTTTTTTATCTTAAGCTTATTTTTGTCAAATACTTGCACGAATGGTTCTAGTGAAGACGATTAGTAAATTTACGAATCAATGATTGTTCATTAGTGAAAAAGAATACTTGTAATTACAACAATGAAAGCAGTGAAAGTGTTGTTTGCACTAAGTGTTCTAAGCTCTTTTTATTGCAGACAGGTTACACCCGTTCTTCAAGCAGCTGTAGAAGTTGTTTCATTTGGAATAGACGTTTACTCGTTCTTTGATTCAATATTAGGGGAAGACGAGGATAAAAGTCCACCACCGCCTATCGAATATGACAGAATAATTAACAGAATATCAGAAAAAATTGAAGCGTCAACAGACACTGTTGTATTCAAGATTGAACTTCAGTCATACATCTCAGAATTACGTGATGTTGCACTGACTGTAAAACAACTGCTTGCCGAGATGATGGACATAGTTACAGCAAAATCTAAAGAGAAAAGAGAAGAATATCAGAGACGATTTCGCGGGAATTATAGACAGCATCAAACAAAATTGTATAGAATAAAAAATCTTCTTGCTTTCAAAATTGATGTGTCTGGAATTTCAAATACATTATTGGCACTTATTGCAAATGAGTTTGAATGTGGGATGACAAAACTTGAGGAATTTCAGAATTACTATATGACTTTGGTTTCTGATGTTGTTGCACTCTCTCTTTTAAACGAAAGACTTGAAGAAAAAAGTCTTTATAATGACACATTAGCATCTTGGAAAACTGCAACAAGATCTCTGTATACAGACTTTGAAAAGCAGAAAAGTAACTGTAAAGCAAAGTTCTTTGGATTAATAAAGAAAAATTTTGACAAAATAAATGATCCGTCGCAACTGTATCAAAGCAACCAAAATCGGTATCCATACAAAGCAACCGATGTTCTGTTTCTGAGCGGAAGCTATTGCGTTTGGAATCTGAAGAACTATAACAACATCTTAAAAAAGATGCATGAAAGAACATTTACATATGTTGTAATAAACGAAAATAAAAACGAGGCAGCCCATAGCAGAGAGCAATATCTGAAAATAACATCAACAACACAATTTAGGGATTGCTTGGAGGACACTGGCAAAATAATTTCATATTTCGACGTTTTAGGGGAAGATTTGATTTTTTGGCTCATGTTTCCTCAAGATATATCAGACAAATTCAGAATTCTTCTTGATCAAAGTAAGTCTGACTTCAACATTGTTTTCATCTGCATATATTTTGTTAATTCTTTATTTCGATTTATTTACAGTTTTTAAATGATAAGGCACATTCACAGTACATACCAATTTTTGGTGATTTATAGCTTAAATCAATGTTCTGAATATAACTTTTCTAAAAACCTTGTCTGAAATTGAGTTTTTGGCAGATTTAGTCAAGGCTGTTGCGGTAGAAAACAAGTGGTGTCCATTCAGTAACATTAAGTTGGCATAAAGTTTAATGAAGTTTACCTCTTAAATGTTGGGGGCTTATTCTTATTTTTTCAAAGATATTTGCCTGCAGCTCTTATTCCTTTTTCCACAAATTGAAAATGTATGTCATGTAACAGTATTCTATATATTTCATAATCTTTAAGACCATCGGAAAGTTATAATCCTTACGAATTTTTATGCCTACTATGCAAACAAAAGTAAAGTCGCATCAGTTAATTAATAATGAAGTATTTAATTTGTGCAGAAAGTAAACTTTAAGTTACCTACATAATCATGTTAAGAAAATCATGCAAAACAGAACTAAATTCACTTATACATGTAGTTAAGTAAGAGTTGACAATTAAATTGCCGATGCAAAAAACTACAGGATCATATTGATACATTTTAAGCACAATGCCATTTTCATTTCAATCACTAATAAATACAAGAAGGGTGTAAAGGAATACTTCATGATTGTATTAATTTCAGATTCGACTGCTAGCCAGATAAACCATGTACAAGACGGTACAGAATACACAACAATATTGTATGTACGAGCACAGGACATTGAAGTCAACTCTACCCTCACTTTAGCAGACTTTGATACCGTCTTTAATGAAGATACAGTTGAAGAACCCTCTGGCCTAAAAACATGGCAATTTTGGGCTATAATTGGAGGCTCGGCTCTAGTTTTGATAATTACCATTACAATTATTGTAGCAAAGATTTACAAAAAATGTCGTGAATCACGTTTTGATTACTGAAGGAGGGCCAAGTCAGTATAACAATTTAATCAATAAATCGTGTAAAGGATCGCTTGGGTGTGCTGTGAACAATTTTATATACATGTATTATATAATTTCATCTTACAAGCAAATTGTGAAAAACAGTCACCTTACATAGGAATACACTTTTTCTTCTATGTACTGAGACTACATGCAGGTCATTAAAACTCGTAATTCGTCAATTTTTTCTAGTGCACTTCAAGCAGCATGCCTCCAGATTCATACTTATTTCCTGATTATTTTTCCTTTTCTTAAAATCTTTGTACATTTTTCTCAAGGTTGATTTTCTTGAAATATTTTGGCTCATCTGCAGGCATACAGCTTTAAAATTATTCCTCTGTCGTTTCGCCAAGACAAGTAGATTCTATTTGATGTATTTACCAACATCTTTGAAACTAAACTTGAACGTACTGGTACATTATTTTATATCTTGTACACCAAACAACTGACATAGAAGCCCAAGAGAAAAGCGCTATAGTTTACAGTTGTATTGTATCCAATCATATAACTTGTCTTACTTGAGCTCGATTTGGAACTTTACATAGCCTAATCAGCAATAATGATTAATAAAAATGATATCTTCAATATAAAATATAAAATAATTTTTTAATCAAGAAACTGGGACGCTACAAGGGGCAATATTAAAAGAAAAACTCTATCAAGACACCGCTAAAGGTGACACTTATTGTATTAAAAAGCCAATTTCGTTACAAATACTTAACTGCATAAACATAGAATAGAAAAACAAAACAATAATGTTTTTGTTTAGAACTTGGAGCACCTGTAAATGAAGGGGAAAACACTAAGGTCTAGATCACTGAGCTAGAGAATTGCTTTCCTGATTTAGTTACTATTTTTAAAATTGTATTAAACGGTTGTACTAATTTGTAACCGAGTCATCTATTTTATAGTTTGTCAGTACTTCAAGGTACAGGACAAGATTTATATCCTGATTACAAATCAAAATAAACAGATGATTACAATGTTGACAGATACAGAACTCAGACAATCACAGCAAAACTCGCTAGATAAAACGAGACACAGTGCATGTACTATCTCGGACAACTATTTGACACTCATAGGAAGAGTTCGAAGATTAAGTACAAAAACACAATTATAAAAAACATGTGACAGCCTCTTTGTTGAGCCTTTGTCAGGATAACGAACCTTACTTGCAACAACGGTGTTGATATCCGGCCTGCCTCACAAGTGAGGTATTATCGAGGATATATCTTGTTAATTGGTAGCCGAATTGTGCTTATCTCTTTTCAGACAGCTTTGATAATTTGCTTCGTTCTATGATGTTGCTGGTGTTATTTTTGTTCCGTATTCCCTAAATTTACCAGATATTTCAGTTCATTCAACTTTGGTCTTATTTGCATTATTTAGTGTACTTCATTATTTGTTTCCGAACACTGTTATCTATAAAATATACAGAGTGCAAATCGAAGTTAAAAAGTTGTTTTGGAATGCTTTCGGGTGTTTTGTTTTAAAACTATTAATTATCTAGTAAATAGATTTTAGTAGTGAAATTAACTAAGATGAAAATATTGATTTTTCAATCAATATCTTATATGAGGAATCTCAGGGATTGTACCGGCTTGTTATAAATCTTAATAGAACTTCATAATGCTTCCGTCCACGCCCACAATCATATGCTAAGTTCATACAGTAGAGTGTCTCAGTGGTCTCAAACATTTCTGAAATATCATTTTTGTACTGTTCTATGCTATACAAAGAGATATAATTTGCATTGCGAGAATGTTAGATTATTGTGATCGTGTACCCCTAAGACACCAGCTTGAGGGAACGTCATAAGTTCTCTTTTGAATGATACAGCATAAAAGATGACCAAGGTAGCATCAAAATGACAAATCGAAGGAAACCCTGAGCAATGATGAATAACTTACAGTTATATTGAAGACGGAGAATTTTGAATTCTAAATATCGCTTTATCTTTTGTTTTCATAATAACATAGATAAACGATACAGTTTATCAAGGAAGACAAATACAAATTTAGTTCGTAAGTAAAGTAATGTAAGTAGGATTCGAACTTAAGACAAGATAATTTGAGGCTTTGAAGTATTCTTTTATTATGATATCAGAAAAACAAACGTTTCTTCTAAACCCTTGATAACCTAAAACTTAATAGATAATCATATTACCAGATTATGATTTGTCATGTGTAGTGTTTTGTGCTTTATACTTTGCACGTTAAATAATCAGTTATTTTCTATGAAATCCAGTAATTTTTGTAGTCGTTGCACCCTATTAAAAAGAAAAATATATAGCGAGAATATTTCCCGTGACTACTTTAAACACAAACGTGTCAGTACATAACCAACACATACTCGTAAAAGAGCATAAATGAATAAGATCCCAATAGTTAAAATGTGTGTATGCTAATTGCGGTAGGATAAAACGAAAAAAAAAACAACAAAAAAAAAAAACACACAATTTATCAAAACATGTTTTGCTTTAATAAGCTTTATCAGTTGATATGATGCTATTTATACTAATTACCTAAGTTGGAGAACAATATTGTGAAAGTGTAATTTGTAATATCCCAAATTAATAATTGTAATTAATATTGTGTATGTAACATATAACTTCTGCACTTACATCATCTTTTACCAACAACATCAACAACAGATAGTATTAACAATTCCTACAAATAGAATTCCTTTGGCGAATATTTAAGCAAAGTGAAAACATCATTGTCCAATAAATGACTACAATGTACATACATGTATGTATAACATACAAAACAGCCGAAATACGAGTACATCTACAAATACAATGTATATTACATGGTGTTTAACGTCTTAATGAATATAACGTTACTTCTTTTGGGAATTTACTTATTCATGCTGCATTTTCTTAATTTCAGAAGACATTATTAATGTTTGATGTTTGAAAGATTTGTCCATGATATTCTTGACAGATATTTTGAACTTATTTCATTTATATGTTGGGAATGCCATAAGTACATGATATTCAGACTCTATCACACTAAACCACGACAATGGCAATAATGAATTGATCTACCTAGTCCAATGGATCTGTCTGTTTCAATAGCTAAACATTGAGAAGACACTGTGAAACAGTAATAAAAATTTTTCTCAGATAATCATTTCCTATATAATAAATTTTCCGTCTTTATAATAACAGTTATAAAAAAAATTGTTTACTGTAATCTAAGCATATATGACAAGCTCATCTAATTTAAAGTATAAAAACAGTAAAAACAGTAATGCGATAAGAGGCGATCCGTTTAAAAAAAAAAAAAAAAAAAAAAAAAAAAAAAAACAACGCGGATCATTTTCTTTTTTCATGCGTATGCAAGTACAAATAAAATAATTATGTTGGTAAACATGTATAAATAAGCAAACAAAATACACCTAGCCCAAAGGATATACGTGCTACCAGTACAAACAACAAAGGCAACGCATACAGCGATTTATAAGCAAGCTTGTATTATAAATGATAAATGACTAAATTAAACAATAATTTGATTACAATCATGATCACAAACATCAACACTTTAAGGTCAACTTTACAGATGTTATCAGTTTCGAGTCCATGTTTCTACTTCTACCACATCTTGTTGATATGATATCTTCAGGTTCGTTATTGTTTCAAGTTATTTATCATGTCACATAGGTCCCAGGCCCAACATACAACAAACATGAAAATGCAATTAAAATACAACTATATACAGTAATGTTTATAAAACAAAAAATAAAAATTTTAAAAAGTGTATGGTTGATTAAAATATATACTGTATATGAATCATAAAAACGCAAGATTTTGTCCATTTTTATTTCTCGTTGAAGGCATACGCGTGTATTTACTTGCATATGGGAGTTATGTAATGGCACTAGACTGGTTCCATGCCTACCATTCTGCAATTATTAACGAAATAACGTAATAATAGAGGCTGGTACTCCATACTAGTAATGGCTCAATCTCGTTAATACAAGAAAGCTGTATCTTGATAAATATTTCTATGAACGTCCAAGTGCTTTAAAATTTGAAAAATTAATGAACCATAGTAATAAAGATATCATTTTGAAACTTGCCATAATTGCAAAAATATTATGTTATCATTTAAATAATGTTAGCTTATTAGATTTATGTCTTTTCTCTTTGTTTTTTTCTCGCAATGATTTTTGATTTTTCTCTCTCATCCTCCATCATCAGTCAATTATTACTGTAATTTTATTACATTATGGAGTTGTATGACTATTTATAATTTGCCATTTTGTAGTATTTTGTTTTTATTGCCATTTTGTATTATTTTGTATGTATGTACTGTTTTATGTTGTCACATGCCCATATGGGCCCTGACGTATTCAAATAAACCTTGAAACCTTGAAACCTACGCAGTGATCTCCCCTTATCAGTACAGAGATCTCTGCCATCACAAACATGAAATATCAATATTTTGATATTTTATATTTTTTAGCTTTTTAATTTATTTTTTATTATTTTGTATACTATTGATATTTTTTTGATAAAATATAGCGGACTTAGGTGCGAGAAGTTAAAAATAAAACAGAACGTTAGATTTTCCATGGGAACTGTACTGTAAATATTTTTACCTGCAGCCATACTGTAGACAAATGCATGAGATATCAGAAAATGTATTATTTTCCTGATTTTGATATCTGGTTAATAAGTTTTACTTGGTTTAGCAGGAACGCGTGATATTTTAACTGGCTAGGAAGTTGCCTATCTCTGTTATCTCTGTCTCTGATTTTTACCAATCTCCTACGCAGTGATCTCCCCTTATCAGTACAGAGATCTCTGCCATCACAAACATTGAAATATCCAAATTTGGATATTTATATTTTTTAGCTTTTTAATTTATTTTTCATTATTTTGTGTACTTTTGATAATTTTTTGTTAAAATATAACGGACGTAGGTACAAAAAGTTAAAAATAAAACAGAAAGAGAAAAATAACGGTCGATATTTACATTTGAATTTCGACGTTACGTCATGTGACTTTCATCATCATATGACGTCGGTGAAGACAGTGATTACAATACTGCCAAGGGAGGTTGTCACTGTGAGGAGTTTTGTAATTGCATGGTATTGTCGCGCTGAAGGTTCTAAGGTAACCACTCTCTGTACAAATCTGCGGGTGTTCAGAATTATAAAATTAACAACACTGTATCTTCAAAGGTTGAGTTCTGCTCGAGCCGGTGCTAGACAGCTTACATATACCACTATCGACCACGAACAGACTCAATCAAACATAGCCATCAACATTTTCAATTGTGCAGTGTCTGGTGGTCTTTGAGCTTTCCATTTATTAAATAATCTATTTGACAGAGAATGTTCAATTGCTACAATATACAGTGTTTATATTTCAACATTTTGAATCCTTGCAAAGATATTCTTTAATGAATTGCCAAACTGCTGAGACTGATATCCCTATGGAATCACTAAAATTTAGGATTTGTTTTTAAATCTAATGTAAAAAAGTAACTTAATTTGTAAGTAGATTTATTTATTAAAACTAATAAACATTGACAAAAGTAAGCACAAATATAGCATATTTAAGCGCATTATGCTCAGATGTATTGAAAGAAATCAGGTGAAGACTGAGGGACCTATTCGAAAAAAGTAATAGTCATTAGATAATCAATGCGAGTCAATATGCTTTATGTTGTTTCCTTTTGTTTTGTTTTTGCCTCTCTTTCCCTGTTGCTCGTTTTCGAGCATTGCCCAAGATCACGTCAAAATAGAATGACAAAATTATTCATCATTTAGCATTTTCCTTTGATAGTACTGCCTACAGAAAAGTTAATCACATTGAAGCGGCTCAGCTCTTTCGAAAGTATATCTAATGACTTTTGTTAAAAAAGATTGCATCATATATTAAAGGATGAATTGTTGTAACGTTCGATATATATTTTTTCAATTACACAATTATTTCATTAAATGAATTTATGCAATTAAATTTATGTTGTAATTTAAAATGATAAAATGTGTCAAGGTTATCATCAGTGTTAAAAGTATGTATCATCAGTGTTTAAATACGGGCAAAACAAAACAGTGGTCTGACTTCAATCTAACAACTGACGATTTCTTTGGTATGAATATTTGCTCTACGATTGAAATGTAATGTCGTTTCATAGTATTTCAAAAATGTGCCGGTTTGTATTGTTTACGCCCCCCCCCCATTCACATTACGAGCAGCAAAAAGTAAGATTATGTTATGAAAAATATCTCAATGAGTGTAATTATCATGTTAACTTCTATTGTTCAAAGAAATAAGTGGAACGCTTTTCTAAAATTAACTTCTGTTCTGAAAATTTGATTATTTTGTCCTTAGTTTGTGCTTTATTTGCAAAATAGAAATGCGGCTGCTAAAGGTTATAGGGTTACTAATTTATTTTGAGTTTAGTCAATGTGACCGTCGATGGGATGTTTTCTCCACAAAAACTCTTTACGAGTGGGCAAATGATGTTCAAATGCCAGTTCGGAACAAACACAATGAATTAAATGTTGATGGCACTTTGTGCAAAGCGATACACGTGAATATGGTTGTAAGACACGGAGCTCGAAACCCTACCTTGAAAAATATGAAATACATTAAGGCTCTGCACGAAAAGATAGTAAAGGCAAAAGATCCAACAGCGTTTCCAGAACTAGACAATTGGAAATTTCGGTATGATACAGATAGAGAAGGGGAGCTTGTCAGCAAAGGGATAACTGAACAGAATGACTTAGGAGCTAGAACGGGTGCCAGGTTCCATCATTTGTTTGACAAAAATGGGAAATATGTTAAGTTTGTGTCCTCAAGAAAATCACGAACGAAAGATAGTGCAAGACATTTTCACGGCGGACTGTCGGAATATATGACAAACAAAATACCAAGTTTTGATAACGAGGTCAACAATGCAACAATGAGGTTTTATGACGGATGTTATAACTATGAACATCAAGTAGAGGACAATGTTACTCAGTTTGAACAATTTCATAAGTTTTCAAAAACGCCACAGTTCATAAACATAGCAAAATCATTAAAAAGTAAACTAAAGGCTCCATTTTCCTTTACTGAAGGTAGGTAGATAATAAATACTTGCTGGAGTTTGAATCCCCCTTATTTCTTTATCCAGTCAATTGAACATTCTTTAATATATTAATTTCATTTCATTTATTTGATTTCGTTTTATTTATTGCATATCATTAATAATTGAATTGTAAAACAGTTCTGTTTTTAAAAGCAAAGACGTTTTACATTCAAAAGTATATCGTGTGTGTGTTAAATGAAAGTTTATCACAGTCGCTTTACATTAGCTTATAAACATAATTTATATAACGAGAGAGATATTTTTATGTCAAATATTGTTATACTTTATTGCCTTATATATTATGTTGTATCTACTTACGAATACATGTTACGTTCAGTGTTCTGTAATTAAATTCGTGTTTATTCATAAAGGCATTTATATTTTGTATCATTAAAAATCGTGATATTTAATCTTTAATGCACATTGTATATACTTTTCTAAGACAAATTTCTTTTATGCCTTTTTTAATAAAAAATGCATGCAACTATTATTTTATCAGATGACGTCTACCAGATTTACGAGTTATGTGCTTATGAAAGCTACATATTCAATGACAACATGACGTGGTGTAAGCTGCTTACAGATGAAGATAGAATATTACTTGAGTATGGACAAGATATTGAGGTACGTTCATTATGCACTTTTAACTTCTAATTGGGACGACAGCTGAATTCGTGAAGGAATGGACCATAAAAACTATAAAGTTGGCAAACATTGGACAATGAATGTTTAATGCCGTTATCTTAATCATTATAATTCAGTGATATACGTGTAGTTTTTATTATATTCTAGTTTATATTATATTCTAACATGACCCGCATTTCCCCAATTGAACATATATGAACCGAAAGTGTGTGTTATTATGCTATAAAATCACTGTTTAGACATGTTACGTAATCATTGTTCACTAAAAATGTGACGCGCTGACAATAAGTACGGAAACAAATCAGGCGCAAGGCGCAATTTAGCTTAATATCAGTTTCGTATACACGTAAACAATACTGAAATATACAACGTGTTTGTTTGTTTAAACCTTTTTCTTTATTAAACAACATCTTAACTCTCGTTAGTAATAATAATAATGATGATGATGATGATGATGCTGCTGCTGCTTCTGCTGCTGCTGCTGCTGCTGCTGCTGCTACTGCTACTACTACTACTACTACTAATAATAATAATAGTTTCGTACGTCATCATGCGAGGACATGGTTGCAAACGGAGTAAGGCTATTATTTTTGTATAATTTTCCCTTTTTTTAGTAATAAGATCTCTATCATTTTTGCCTTGCATAATCAAAGCCATCTATTATCAAAGCACATGTCAACGTGTACAGTATATGAGCAACGTCGTTATACTACCCAAGATATGTTATATTTCAGAAATACTACAAATTGTCCTACGGGCATCCAATAAACTCACAAATGGCGTGTCCACTTGTTAAAGATATGTTCGATACAATGGACAAAGCAATGAATAGCAGCTGGGATTATGAAAATCTTGGAGATATGAACAATACTGAGTAAGCTCATCATTCTAAGATACAGAAATTATCAGACGTTACACCAGTGTATAGTCGATTTTGGATATTCTATTACAAATTTTCAAGTGCGAGACTAAGTCTAAAACATACTAATTGAAACAATATTGTATCAGCATGAAATACTAACTAAGATATGTTTTAATGTCTGCATTGCGATAATAATTTATAACATAATCTGCATTGTAGCTTTGTACAGTCGGTTATAGGTATACTATCACATAATTAGCAAAACGTATGAAAATATGATGGAAAATGCTTTACATGATATCTAAACAACTTTATTTTACTAGTATTTAAAATATCAACAATATTGACATTTACAGTACTCGATATACAAAGATTTTCAATGTATTTCCTGGATAATGACTTACTTTTGAACCTTACTGTAAACCAGATGAAGATTTTCCAAATTCATTTTGCACTCAAGTAGTTTATATCATTTTCGATTGCTTGAAAGTGAAAATGTTAAAATTTATTATATACACCTATAAAGTTTATTTCAAATTTATGTCTTTCATAATTACTTAATTCATTTTATTTTCAGTTATCTAGCAGCGAAGTTTCAGTTTGGGCACTCAGAAACAATAGTCCCCCTTATGACGGCACTTGGTCTGTACAAGGACAACACGCCACTTCTTGCCACCAACTTTAACACTATGTCGGGACGAAAATTTCGGACAAGCAATATAGACCCGTATACTTCAAATTTAGCATTTGTTATTTACGCATGTGACAATGTGATGCAAACTTATGCAACTGAGAGAGGGAGTAGAGAATTTGTGGTGAAGTTGTTTGTAAATGCAAAAGAGGTGAATATTCCTTCATGTGGCGATTTGCCGTGCTATTACGGTGTAGTCAAGCGGAAATACAATGATTACATTAATAAATGTAATATAAAAGAAATTTGTGGAATTAGACCAGACGATAACGTGGACTCACAAGGAAACATAGCCAGTACACTTTCTGTATATAGCATTACAGGACAGCTACTGACAATACTTTTGTTTCTGTTACCATTTATCTGAATAAATCAAATAGGCACATTAAATAGAAATACTAAGACAAATTCATAGAGCACATACAGACAGGCAAGTCTTCCAAAATGTGAACTTGTTGAATAAAGAAATTCAAAAACATATCACGCAATATAAACCACTAAGTTTTTTTTTCATTTACATTATTATTTGTATATATCCATACAAAATATCTTATATATATATGTAAGTGTGTCTAATTTGTAACATACTATCATAATGAAAGTGTAAACAAGCAAATTCGTTGAATTTATATCCCCTGCCGAGCAGTGGTTATTACTAACACAACAACCTTGAGACATAAGGCTTTCTTTATGTAAATTTATCATGAAATGCAAATTTCCTTTTTATATTGATGATTCTCATAAAGTCTTGTTGAAATCAATCCAGAATTGAAAAGAATTAGCAATATTGCTCTATATGCATACTGAAAAACTAATCAAGAGCCATAACTCTTGTCTTGAAGGCTCTGACCGGAACAAGGCAATGATATTCGCATCTCCTCTAATCTAAGTATTTAATGTTCGAATAAAGTTGCAGAGAAATAGCGCGGAAACAATTATTGCTCTGTATGCATACTGCATAAATAATCAAGGGTCATAACTCTGTGTTGAAAAGTCTAAGCGACACAAGGCAACATGTACATCTCCTCTTGGTATTGATAGTTCCCATAAAGTTTTGTTGAATTCCAGCCAGTAGTTGCAGAAAAAAAGTGCGGACACGATTATTGCTCAATATGCATGCTACATAACTAATCAAGGGCCATAATTTGTCTTGAAGGGTCTGACCAGACCAAGGCGATGATATGTGCATCTCTTCTTAGTATTGATGGTTCCCATAAAGTTTCATTGAATTCCAGCCGGTACTTTCAAAGAAATAGCACGGAAACGATTATTGCTCTATATGCATACTGCATAAGTTATCAATGACATAAGTCTAAGTTAAAGGGCCTGACCAGAACAAGGCATCGATATGCCCATCTCCTCTTGGTATTGAAGGTCCTCATAAAGTTTCATTGAATTCCAGCCATAAGTTGCACAGAAGTGGCACGGAAACGATTATACATCTCTATATGCATACTGCATAACTAATCAAGGGTCATAACTCTCAGTTAAGGTGTCTGATCAGAACAAGGCGATGATATTCGCATCTCCTCTTGGTATTGAAGGTTCCCATAAAGTTTCGTTGAATTCTAGCCAGTAGTTGCAAAGAAGTAGCGTGGAAACGATTATTGCTCTATTTGCATACATCATAACAAATCAAGGGCCATAACTCTGAGTTAAAGTGTCTGACCGGAACAAGGCAACGATTATACGCATCTCCTCTTGATATTAATGATTCCCATAAAGGTTAGTTCAATTCCAGCCAGTAGTTGCAGAGAAGTAGCGCGGAAACAACTATTGTTCTATATGCATACTGCATAACTAATCAAGGGCCATAACTCTGAGTTCAAGGTTCTGACCGGAACAAGCCGGGGTATGCGCATCTCCTCTTGATATTGATGATTCCCATAAAGTTTCGTTGATTTAAGCCAGTAGTTGCAGAGAAGTAGCGCGGAAACGAAATTCGGACGGACGGATGGCCGGCCGGACGGACGGAAAACGCCAAAACAATATCCCACTCCCGATTCCAGCGGCAGGGGATAAAAATATTTTATTCACATTATGTAAGAAACGTTTAAAATAGTTTTTGGAAAGACATTCTTACTTAAAGAAGTCAGTTCAGACAAATAAGCTACATTACTTTGGTAACAATTGTTCTGGTTGTTTCTAGAGGAAATTCGTGGAAATTGTTTGATGGTGTAATAATAAAAAAATTAGCACCAGTCAATAATACATATACATAAAGCATTTTTAAACGTACAAAGTGTGTAGAGTATCATTTCACCTAAGTAGTTCGATATTCTATTTTATTCAGTCACATCGAAATTGTTACGGCCATATGGCGACATTACAAAAGTTGATGTTGAAAACAACATTTACATGATTTATACAACTTTTAAAGTGAGTGCTGTGTAATTTCAGGTATATATATATATATATATACAATATACCCCCCCTTACTCCCCCCTGGATATTTTTGTACACCTATATAGTATTGAAGCTTAGGGTTTGTGCTATCGATTGGCACTTGTTGTTTAGCTGAAACGTTTACCATGAATCCAATAGAACAAGTTGATTATCTCCCCTTGAATCATATTTTTTCTATATACGTTTTATAAGATTTCTTCAGATATCTTCTCTATGACAGAGTAAATTTGTGATCTAAACATTATTTTGACTTGTAAATATATGTTTTATATCTTATACAAAAAGTAATAAGTTTTAACATAAAAATAACATAATTAATGGTGTCCGCCATTTTAAAATGGCCGCCAATTATTGAACAGATAAACAATTCATAACAATATTTAATGTGTTTAAACCCATTTATGCATAGTTTGATGTAATTATAAATTATATATGATATGCTTATGGAAACTAACTCTATTCTAGGTAGAATTTTAAATGTTGTGCTCTTGAATATTATTTCAATTTTAGAGAGATATGAACCATAAATATTTGGAGTCAATTTGAGCTGCCTTTAAAGTTCGATAAGATACTTTTAATTGAATTTCATGCGAATATTGACTTTTTGTCCTCTCTAGAAATTTAATATACTCTGACTTATATGAAAAACAATTTGAAAAGTTGGTAGTTGAATTCTCCGTTCTGTTCTGTTTCTGTATATCCATATGACTATAATGAATTGTACAGCTTACCCGCACCACAATGACTATGTGACAGAGGCTGCTCGTTGAGTTTCACCAAAGGAAACTGTTCTTACTCTTACTTTATTTTAAATGACTTAGCATTTTGTTGGTAGTTTTTTTTATTATTATTAGAATAATAATTGAGATTACTGTATTACATTTCATTATCATTGTTACTCCCCTTTAAAAACATTATAAAGTTACTTCCCCTATTTTCATTGCGCCATTAGACAAAAAGCAGATAACAGTATGCTTTAGTAATAGTATGCTTTTCCCTTAAAATCAATTGTTTTAGAGTGATTTTGTTGAATAAATCTTTATTGAAATGCATTTACACAGCATATGACAGCATCAGACACTGATGAATCATTTCGGACATTGTCAGTTATACTCCTCCCAGATTTTGGAGTTGGAAACTGTGTAACAGTACTCTTGATCGGGACATTGTTCTCCCTGATGCAATATCTGTAAAAGCAATTTCATAACACATTTGTCCTGGGACCATTTCCATCTAATCCATCTAAATAACAACCAATACTGCACACAGAATTGTTTTTCAAGAAAGTGAACAGTCGTAAGATGATGATGATGACACTAAAAGAGAACAAACATCCACTAATATATCAAATATACAGGCGACTAAGGCATGCACTGTTAAATACAATCCTGAAGAATTGGCTGAATGCTTAATTACTGGGAAATAAGAACAATTTATCAATACTTATAAGTTTCGACAAATGAAATGTTTCGGGTTTTGCTGTTTCATCTGACTTTCTCTGGTTCATGTGTACATGACAAGCAGATTGTTTCAAGTTGGACTGGCTGGATATCTCTAACATCTAAGTTGCATGATCAAACATCCTCTACAGAAGAGTATATGTCTACCAATTTACTTTAATTGCCCAAAGTACAAAAATTGCAACTGTTAAGAAAATTCTAGAAATTTCAAGTGTTTCAAGAGCTGTAAACCAACAATACACATTTGTGACCTTTGATTTGGCTGCTGCTAAAAGGCATATTCTACAGTATGGAAAATCCGACTAAGTACAGTGATACTATCATACATTTAGGGGCTTTTCGTTTGCTAGATTCATACCTAGGGGCGATTGGCAAACGGCTTTGTGGAAGTGGTTTCTCAGAAATCCTGATAGAGAAGAGTGAATGTGTTAACGTGTTTACAGTAGAAGCTCTCGAAAGATTGCTTTTTGAAGATTTTGTAGCACTAGTTATCCAAATCCACAACTCTAGTGCATTGGAAGATATCAGCCAAGCGTTAAATGTGCTAGCTGAGAATCAAAGAGGTGAACACCTTGAAGATGTGTTAGCTAATGATTCTGTCATTGTATTTTACAAGAGATATCAAGAGTTCAAGGAAGACGTCGGAAAAGGTCACTTAGGGAAGACAGCACAGATTTGAAGGGATTTATTGTTAAGATTTGGCTGCTTCTTCGTTTTATGAGAGCAACAAAGGAAAATGATCTTTACCTATACATATCAACATTATAAAATATGCTACAATTATTCTTTGCATATGATCATCAAAACTATGCAAAATATCTATTTGTATATGTTCTTATGGTGATAAATTGATTCAACACACTGTATCAAGAAAGCTTCTTCAAAATAACGGTTTCTGTAATGCTGTTAATATAACTATTGAGCAAATAATAAGCAGATGTGCAAAGTCTCGTTGAGGCATAATAGGATTCAGCAGAAACTTTGCTGCCTACTACAGATGGAGTCAAACACAACACTTGAAAGCCAGCTATGTTGAGGCTACATTCCGCATGGCGGGCATATCGGCGGATTCTTCCACAACCAGCAATTATAGCTGCATTTGAAAAAAATGTCACGAAACTAAAAGAACCAATAACTAACTTTATGAATCCATTTGCAACAGATAATTGGGATGTGTTTATTTGTTTTAGTTTAGGGTCTCCTGCACCAGAGGAGATCGAAAAGAGTCTGTTTGATGCCTATACCGAAATGGACTTATAGCACACAACAAGCTCGCCCAAGAACGTCTGGTTGATAAAACTGTTAGTTTTTATGCTCCACTGAAGAAGCAAAACTGAAAAACGTTTGCCAATACAAAGAAAGTTAAGAAAGAGACATAAACTCAGAACAATCTTGTTGAAGTTAAGGCCGCTGGCAATGTCTTCGGTCAGCTTATCATGTTATCAGAAGAAAATGACATTATCCTTACAAAGCCCCATATGTACCCACTTGGACCAGTGCC